TTCAATTTCTTCTTTGAGTGCTCTATTAGAGGCACGATGCTTGAATACTTGAATTGCTCGATAAAGGCAGACCAATCTGGTCTAGTCCGATTTGCCGTGTATCTGAGGGAGCTGTCTGTAGTGGCTAAAAAGTATTTCAAAGCGGACGAGGTTGACCAGCCCCAAAAAAAAGGTGGACGCTCTCAAAAAGTAGGAGAAGCTCCCTTCGAACCATTCTAACTTTCCTGATATCTAGCAGTTTCGCAAAACGTAAAGTCAAGACGTGAGCAATCACGCCGTCCCCATAAAAGGCTCATAAGGACGCTATCGTTGCTGAAACGACCGTCAGATAGTGTAATGATCAGGAAGAATACCAAAAAGTAACTATTCCAGTAACTACCAATAATCCCACTAACTATTCCTCTCCCTCATTGAGTGACTCAGCACAATTTCGAAACCATCCGTCGACCTTGTCTGGGGATGTCCATGCATATAGTTCATCCAGTGAAAAAACCTCTGCAGCTGCAGTTCAAGGCCTCCTGCACTGCCGTCTCGAGCCCGGCCGGGGTCAGTGCTCTAATCTCAGATTACGTGGCTATAACGTTGTCAAGGCGCTGGGCATGTGCATCTGGGGAAACGCTTTCCATATGGCTAACGGATCGTATTTCCTTTAATGAGTATTTGCGAGAAAGGATCGCATTCATACATTCACTCAGTGAGTTCAGTGAGACCATCATGGGAGTTTCAACCTAAAGAAGAGTTAGGACAATTGTAGAAGCACGTCTGAGCCATGGCTTGACAAAGCCCCTTTGGACACCAATTCGATTCCCCTTCTTGCAATGCAACGAGTAATCTGCAGTATAGCAATTTGTATAGTTCATTGTGGCCCAATTGGACGACTGGCATAAGTTTGCGGGAAGATAAAACGCATGGCTCACTCCTATGTATCTATTGAATCTGTCCATAGTTTACACGAGGACAGCCGTGCCCTAAATCGGCAGTGAGGAATGGATGTTCTGATGTCTCCTACTCGGCCAGGCTTCATAAACAACGAATATCGCAGACGTTGGTACTCGTTGAGCTGAAGTCCGTCCGAATGACGGTGACAGATGCCAATCCAGTTGACTTAAGATGACGTTGGAGTAATGGAGAACCCTCCCAAATCGTCGCGTCATTCATGCGAAGGGGACCGTAGCAAAAACGGGTCGAAATGGGGGCTGTTCCTGTGAAACATACCTTTAGTGCGAATCAAGACGAACTCAGGAAGCTCTGCTAGTACATGTTGGGCAATGATGGAGCGAAAAGTAGAGGTGCAGTAGCTACTGCCGCTGACGCCGCCGCCATCCCAGAAGGGCAGCTGTAAACCGACTAACTCGATATCCATTAGAAATGTATGGTAGTTGGTAACCTGATACTGTTTGCCCTCAGGCGCGCTCTGCTGGTCGACTACCACCCCACCCAAGCACACACCCCACTCTTCCATGAGAGACTGCTGGAGGAGGACAGAGGTGTGGCTGCAGAGTGCAGAGTGTCCAGAGCCCTCACAGGGGTCTGCTTCGATCTTTGGCAGGGACGCAGAGGAACGCGCGCTGGACAGGCCCAGCCTCTCCCGGGGGGTTGTCGGGGGCGCGGCCGTCCTGCGGAAGACATTGACCCTCTGTGAACGAGCGCGCGGCAGCTGGCTTCAGTTCAACCATGGTGAGTTCACTGTGACATTTTCCATGAAAATTTCTCCTTGGGAATTACTCACCACCCAGGTCGTTGAACTCCCATTTTCTCGCTTCCCGAACATTCACAATCGGGAAGGGGCGCCTAGGGATATTACGAGCTTTAAACTGCTGCAAATTTGAAAGTTCCACAGGGATCGCCCATTCAGGGATAGCCGAATCGATAAATGTCTCTGAAATTCGAATTATTTCCCATGATCTCCCTATTCTACGAGACTCAGGTTTTTCCTTTTGTGCTGGTCTTCCTCTACAGGAGCCCTTTTGAGGTCGAACTTCCTCAATTTGCTGAGGAAAGCGTCAAAACGAGTTTTCGTGACAACTCAAAGTGGCCCAGCCCTTCTAACGTTCGCTCGCTGTCCAGGTGTTCCTATACGGAACAAAGGAAGCACGCCACATGGTTGTTAGGGTGAAAAGCGTGCGCCGACGCCAGTGGTGTGCAATTCCGCTTGAAAGGGTCCATTTCTCTGGAATATTTCCAATATTGCTTCTTTCAGCGTGAGGTGATTTCCATTCACATCGGCCAGGCTGGAGTACAGATTGGTAATGCTTGCTGGGAGCTGTACTGTCTAGAACATGGTAAGCATCGACACCATCTCCTATGTACTTTTGGCTTGACGCCAAGTAAACGAATCGATTGCAGGAATCCAGCCTGATGGCCAAATGCCGTCAGATAAATCGCTCGGAGGTTGCGATGACTCGTTCTCGACGTTCTTCTCCGAGACCGGCAGTGGTCGCCATGTCCCACGAGCGGTGATGATCGATCTTGAACCCACCGTCATCGGTCAGTTCGTTTGATCTAAGTTCAGCTTCAAATTCATCCAATTTTAAAGTTTCCGTGGGAATCCCTCCTACCGTATCCCCGTATTTACCGTTTCTCAGACTATTTTGGATCGTCGAAGCAGACCATTTCCCACACGAACTTTCATCTATCCTGGTTGAAATCGTTCGTACCTGAGCTCCAATCCGAAGCCCTGTGCAGGATTCATTCATATCAATGTTCCCAGTTACTTGTAGATCTTGACTTGTCAAAGGGGATCTTCAACGAAGAAATCGCCAATTATCCGGGATAATAATTATGCGTAGTATGGGATTTGCCCACAGCACCCACATTAGTGGTAGTTGTCACAACCCACATCAGCGGTAGTTGTCCAGTTTTGTTGAAAAACCAGTATTCCATGTGTATGCTGCCCGTAAAGGCTCAACAAATAACGAGCCCCAGCATTTTTCCTGCCGAATTTTCTACTATGGTCCAGCAATGTCGCCCTCATTGGCGCCAATTTCCATGGGCCGTGATACCCCAGTGATGTAGGCGTTGGCGCCGGCATGGTACATTCTGGAGCGTGAAGGGCGATGAACCATTGCCAATTAGTGTATGTACGGGTCGGCAACAGAACAGATGGCTAAATCGATACCCACTGGAGACAATGAGGCTCGATACTTGTATTGACCAACATACTCGCAGCTGTTCCTTTTATGGAATCCTAGGCTTCATGGGGCCCATAGCTGGGCGAGAGTGCATTTTTATGGGTATTCGAATTGACGGTGGGGACTCTGTTGGGTACGCCACCGCATGGTGCCGGATGTTGCCGTGAACTTGGTGCTCCATTAGATGAATTGTGTTCATAGCTGCACGACCACCACTTGTTGATGATTTGGTGGGCAATTTCGATTTCAGCCGTACGCCGGCCGCCGTATGGTGGGTGCATAAGCCGTATACTAGTGATTGCTTGCCGTAGAGTAACATACTGCAGTCCGAATCAACGAGTGCTCCTCTTTTGGATTGAACGGGAACGAAAATCAGGGGAAAGCATGGGAAGTCGCTGGGAATAGATCTATAAGTCTCCTGTTCCTGTTTTTCTGAAAATACGACCTTCGTACTCTCATACCGATCTAACTTTCGAAGGCTATATTGAATCTGCCTAGGAAGTAGGTTGTGGGGTAGTGGTTAGAGAGCCCCATATGTGTGAGTGTATAGGTGTGAGGGAGGACATAGTCTTACACAACTTATTCCGCTGTTACAAGTTGTTCCCATTCTCTTGGATGGGTCAGAAGGCCCCCTCTGTCTTAGTGAGCCAAACGTGACTCTGATGGTAATGGAAACAACGCTCTCCGGTCGAATGCTCTTCAGAAGAAACTGAAATGTAAACAAAGCAAAGTTGTTGTTCAGGACAAGCCCTTTCGAAAAACCCCTGGCCCAAAATTTATTGAAATGACTAAAATTTATAACTTTGTAGTGAGCTCTGAAGGGAGAGAGAGCAGATGGAACCTTCCCACAATGTCTCCACATTCACTCTCGCCCCTCTTAGTAATTCAATGTATTTGCCGTATGCAGAAGACGGACGGTCATCTGTCCAAATATCGCATTGCCATAGCTCGTATTGATTCCGATTGTGCTGGGAGCTTGGAAAAGGGGAAAAGGACGAAAAATGAGCCCGTCTGCAAGATGCACTCTGCAGATTTCAGTATGTGACAATGGAAACGTGCATCTCCATGGGATTGGATGTTTTTTGGAATTATTGAGCAGCATCCTCCAGGACTACAGACAGATCCCATGCATGCTACGGGTTTTTTGCCCTTCCGTGCTGTCCTTGCAGCTGAAAAGCTGAATTCGCTCTTCTACGAGCTAGCCCAGGTCGAAGATCCTTTAGAAATGATCCAAATCTCCTCCAGTAGCTCGACCAAGTTTTGAATTTGGCTTTGGAAAACTTTTTCATGGGGTTTTTATGTGCTACTTTGAGGGTACAGGAACATAATGGGGTTTTACGAGAACCGGTTCTGAACAAAGTCGGCGATGGTCAGCTTTAACGTGACGATTGAAATACATTACCCTCGTTTTTTGGAGGTAAAAAGTCAAATTGTAGGTCAGACGAGGAATGGCAGTTTCGGTAAAGTTCCAGAATGCCATTGACCCAAGCCATCTACCCAAGCCGGTCTGCTATGTGACTATTCTGGAAATCCACCCATTTCGTTCCCACGGAATCGGTTTGCAAAACGAACGCTGTCAGGGCTGGTCCCAGTTCGGCTCCAGGGCGATCAGTATCTTCCTCCACGGGTATGAAATAATAAATGCAACTAAAACGCCTCATGTCGTGTCCATTTATCTTCAAGTATTCATGGAACCCGAAAAAGAAAGAATGCATAGAAAGGGGTTGTTGAAGAGAGAGGGACCTTCATGGACTCATCAATTTTGACTCGTTTTCTCGCCTCTCTCTTAAGCCCATGAGCCTCTTCGGATTCATTACTTCTGTGCCTGTCGCCGTCCTTTCGGTCATATATGGGAATTCGATTATTCTGCCACTCGCTCATCTCATTCCCATGGTTTAGTGTGATGAAATTGAAAATGTTTCCAATCTACGGCTTTGATGCGTGGGATTTGCAAATACGAATATGTTAATTTTTAATTGAATAGAATACAATAGGCATTTACAGTACCCTGAGGGATCAGGAAAAGAAAAAGGGTGAAAGGATGTGGTAGAGCGTGCTAACTCTTTCTATGGTCTCCCTCCTCCCTAAGCAATGTTCCTCTATCGTTCCCTTGATCAGCAGTGTCTCTCGTCCACAAATTGGCCTCTTCAGCTCGTTAGGGTCTTGATGATTGGGAAATGCCCGATTCCTTGACCCTCCAGCATTGATTCCTGCGCTTTGTCTTCCTTTTACCCTGTACCGCTTTCTTATAAGATTCTGGCTCTTATTCCAAGCGTTTCTGCTCTTAATGGTCCCCTAAGTGATGAACAACCTAGGGAGGGACTTTAGGGAGGACTTCCGAAAACCTGCCGGTGGCTCCCAGAGGTATCCCTTGGGGTGCCTGTCCAAGTTTGCAAGCTATCGAACTGCTTCATGAGTAGTGGAAGTTCTTTCCAATCCAGTTTGTGTAGGTAGACGGTCTTTTATGACCCAGGTGGCAGCGGCATACAACAGGGGACAATTAAAGGCAATAATAACTGGGGGGCAGTTTGGCGAACGGGTTTGACTTCTGAGAAGGAACATTTAATGGGGGTAAGATTCGATTAATGGGCCAAGTTTAGTCTTCATGCAGACTTCCGAGTTTATTCTAATCGGCCGGCAAGCAGTCGTGCAGCTTCTAACAGCAGTTTCGTCATCGATTCGGTCCTTGCTGGCTGGCTGGCTGGCTAGCCAGCTCCGGGCTGAAGTGGAGGGTCGCTTGGAGCAGAAACGCGTTGAAAAGCGAGAGAGTGCGGCCTGAAAAAAAGGCCAAACCAATACACGTCTAGGGCAAGGTCATTTTCGTATTGCGAAAGCGGACGATGGCGTATGAGTCTGTTGCTGCAGTGATGGCAGTCAGTCAGGACTGAAGAGCCATGAAAGCGGGGGATTCAATGCCTGTATTACAGAATTGTGAAGGAGGTGGTGTAGTGCGAAGTGGCGCACTGTTACGCAAACGGTCCTGGGATCAACTCTGGGCTGGCAAGTGCTCCGGCCAACTAGAACTGTCTTCCATATTTCCCAGATCGGTTTTTTGATATCGGCCTCTTCGGGAGGGGCAAAATCAGTGACGTGTACATCGTCTCACCACTGCTGGTCATTGTATTGATCATATACGAATTCAAACGCCACTACGATTCTAAATGGAAGTCAGTTGCGGGGCGCAAGCAAACATTGGCTTTCCTGCGCAAAAAGACATAGTTCTGTATCATTTTTTCTATATACAATGTGTTTCAGATGAGATTCGCACCGGGACCTACCGATCACTGTTCCATCCAGAACAACTCATCACCGGCAAAGAAGACGCCGCAAACAACTATGCTCGAGGACACTATACCATCGGAAAGGTGAGAAGCAGGATCTGGGCGGGACGTGGTCCTGGAATTTTTTGTCATGAATTAGTAGTTACCACCTATGGTTTAGGAGATCATCGACCTCACATTGGATCGTATCCGGCGTCTAGCTGACAACTGCACCGGACTCCAGGTCGGTATAGAAATGGCTTTTAACTACAGAAAAGGGAACGTCTACCGCTGAAAAATCCCAAAATACCCTCTGGGAGGTACCAAGATTAACACATCCTTATCTAGATACCCGTTTTAATCGAGAGAGCTCATTCAAATGCTTCTGGGCAGATCCTCGTTCAATTCCCTGTCCATTGTAAGGCTAATGATGTGCATCTTTTCAAATTTCAAACCCACTCTTCAACACTTTTCTAGAAATCGGAAAATTTTTGGAAAATTCTTCCAAAAATGCATGAAAATTGCTGAAGCCAATTTATTTGAACTGCTAGCTTATGGCCTGACATAAATTCAATGCCACCAATTTGCAGTCGGGGTTTTTGCTTTGGCTATTTTGACGATCTAGTTGGTTGAAAGATGTCAAGGTTAATGGCATCGAAGGAGAAATTATTATGACTAGCTGGTGGTTGAGCGATGTTTAGAGGGATTTTGACGACAGAGCCGGATTATGCGTCAAAGTGTACTTCAGGCAAGGGGATGTGATGGCGGAACTTTTTGTGTGGGATGAGAGGGCCCTGGTAAGTCGGATCCTAGGAATACAGGAGGACAGGTCTGCAGAGCTTTTGCGAAGCCCCTTCGAGTCCAATAATGTGAAGACAGAGTTGCGGGACCCAGTCCATGGAACTTGAGGGGTTATTCTAGTTTGGCTGGTTTTGATCTGAATTAGTATAGTATGGGTATCACAGTGAACCTTCACAGCGCTATCCTGGGCCCATTAAAGTGACCTGACGGTTTGCTTTCAGGGTTTCCTTGTGTTCCATTCGTTCGGTGGCGGTACTGGCTCTGGATTCACATCACTTCTCATGGAAAGGCTCTCAGTTGATTATGGAAAAAAGGCAAAGCTCGAATTCTCCGTCTACCCAGCTCCACAGGTATGATTCTGTTCAGTAGGGGATGCTCTTCAGTTAGACTACTTCTGATGTTCAGGTGTCGACAGCCGTTGTCGAGCCATACAACTCAATTCTGACTACACATACCACACTCGAGCACTCGGATTGCTCATTTATGGTCGATAATGAGGCCATCTATGATATTTGCCGACGAAATCTCGATATTGAACGACCCAGCTATACCAACCTGAACCGACTGATCGGTTAGTAATCTACTGGTTTTGTACTGAGGGACTAAGCTCTTATTTTTTTGAAAAAAATGCTTTGGAGGGTCTTTTTGTAGGGAATCTTTCGAAAATACAGTGGCTCTGTAAAAAAAATTAGGTCTTTTTT